GCCAGCCGGCCCGCTCATCGGTCCGAGGCACCCTCTCCAATGAGTGTAAAATCACTCGTGGGTGCGAGTGGCTGCCCTCGGCCACTTTTGGCCACTCATACAGACGGAGAGAAGCCAGGAGCCGGGGGAAATGCCAAATGGTGTTTATTCATCGGACCACCCAGCAGGGCTTCCCCGTGTGGCGCGGTCTGGGTTTCCCGCCAGGAAAGGGCTTGGAGCCGGGAACCAGGCTGGGCGTCAGGCACTTGGCAGACCCGATCGGGGGCATGTGGCGCTGGGTGAGCCTGGGTGAGCCTGGAGGGATGCTCGCTCCGGCGCGGAGGCTGGCTGAGCCTGCAGCCTCGGGGAGACCAGAGAGGCTGAGAGTGAGGGGGCAGGCGTGGGAGAAAGACAGCCTCCCCCGAAGGCAAAGGCAGACCGACCCTCAATGGCCCCTTCTCCCTCCCTTTCGCACTCACTCACTCAGCATTCACAGACAGCAACTCTGTCCCTGGTCACCATGGCAACCAATGGCCAGATGCCTTTCCCAAGGCCAGGCCCATCTGCCCACCCCACAGGGGGGCATTTTCATAGTAGGAGGGAAGCCCAGCCACAACTCCCGTGGCCTAGAAGTCTAAGGCACAGCCAGGGCAGGGCCGAGCCACGGCCAGGGCAGGACCAGCCACGGCCAGGGCAGTGTGGCGCTGGGTGAGCCTGAAGGAATGCTCACTCCGGCGCGGGCCGGGACCAGACTTTCAAAGCGTCACTCAGCAGCCTCCCACCACCTCGGGTCTGATGTGGGTAAAAAGAGGCCCCTGAGCCCTGGCCAGTTTGGCTCAGTGGATAGAGCGTCGGCTGGAGGACTGAAGGGTCCTGGGTTCGATTCTGATCAAGGGCACGTACCTCGGTTGCAGGCTCTATCCCTGCCCTGGTTGGGGTACATGGGGGAGGCAACCCATCGATGTGTCTCTCTCACATTGATGTTTCTTTCTCTCCTCCTGCCCTCCCCTACACTCTCTCTAGGAAAAATAAAAAAAGGAAAGAGAGAGAGAGAGAGAGAGAGAGAGAGAGAGAGAGAGAGCCTGATGAACAGGGAGCCTCCTGGCCCCGCCCGCAGCCATCCACTCCCACTGCAGTCCCCCGAGCCCACCAGGGCAGGCGGAGAACGAACCATCATGGGGAGAGGCCCTCCGGCCTGGGATCCCGGGAGCAGGTGGGAGCAGAGGAACTGGCTTTTGTCACAGTGACATTTTCCAAAGTAGAAAAGTGTTAAAAATACCTCCCACCCTCTGCTGAGATGAGAGGCCACTCTTTGGGGGGGGGGGGGTAACAGGAGGGCTGGGCCAGGGCCTGGGGAGGAGGAGCCCCAAGGGCCCTGTGGGATGGGGGTGCAAGATGGGGACCACCCCGGGAGGCAGGCTGGCTGAGCCTGCAGCCTCGGGGAGACCAGAGAGGCTGAGAGTGAGGGGGCAGGCGTGGGAGAAAGACAGCCTCCCCCGAAGGCAAAGGCAGACCGACCCTCAATGGCCCCTTCTCCCTCCCTTGCGCACTCACTCACTCAGCACTCACAGACAGCAACTCTGTCCCTGGTCACCATGGCAACCAATGGCCAGATGCCTTTCCCAAGGCCAGGCCCATCTGCCCACCCCACAGGGGGGCATTTTCATAGTAGGAGGGAAGCCCAGCCACAACTCCCGTGGCCTAGAAGTCTAAGGCACGGCCAGGGCAGGGCCGAGCCATGGCCAGGGCAGGACCAGCCACGGCCAGGGCAGGGCATCCGGGCGAAGGCACTGCAGCGGCAGGGGTGGCTCCCCGGCCCCAGGCTCTGCCCTCTCAGGCCAGCGCCTGCACTGGGGCGCTGAAGGGGGTGTGGGGTCACAGTCCCCCCTCCTGAAGTTCCAAGTAGCAAATTAAAACACAACAAAATAGTCCTTGTGTTTAAAAAAAAAATGACCTGGGCCCTCTGTGTCGGGGCCTCAGCCCCTGCAGTCCGTCCCGCAGGCTCCGAGGCCCGGGAGCTACTGGTTGTTGCAGCCCTGCGAGGCCGAGGAGCCCGCCTGCTTCTTCCTCCGCTTGTTCAGGAGCCGGTTGTTCGAGGTCTTCAGGTCCTTGATCTTCACCTGGTCGTAGTCCACCCGCATGGTCGCCAGGGCACTGGTCATCTCCTCCTGGGACAGACGTCAGGATGAACCGACCTCCATGGCCAGCACCCTCCCGCCTGGCGGCCCCTTCGTAGAGTCAGCAAAGGCGATGACACCTCTGCTGCCCAAGGACCTACTGTGTGCCCAGCACGAGGCCTGTCTGTGCGCACCACACGGTCCTCCCCACGGTCCTCTGTGGTGGACACGGTGCTCCCCCGCGAAGGCGCAGGAAGTGACTAATGACTCCCTGGGCCCACGCCCGGGAGAGCAGGACAGGGACCTGCACCGTGTCACGGGCTCAGAACCACGAGGCCGGCAGGGACACTATCTTACTGGACACGCAGGCACGGGGGCCTGAGGACTGTGCCCGGGGAGGCGGGGGTTCTGAGCTGCGGCCCCATACGCTGCTGCGTCTAAAACCAGGCTGAACACCCCCCCAGTGGTGTAGATCATAAGACGGGTACGGCCAAAGCCCCCTGGGTGAGGGAGTGAGCGGGCGCTCCGCCCAGGAGGGGGCAGTGCAGCGCCATGTGCCATGGGGGGACCGCTGGTGCAGTCACGGAGACATGGTGCTCCAGGCACGGGGCCGGGGCCAAAGACCCAGGCTCTGAGTAGCCATCACCCTGGTGGGACCTGCAGGGAGAGCGAGGCCGAGTTCACCCACCTTGACTTCGTCCCAGTGGTCTCTGTCCTCCTGCAGCACTCGGGCCGTGTGCAGCGGGGTCTGCGGCACCACCGTGGATTGCTGGAAGGGGCCGGCGCCCGGGTTAGAGCCTGCGGGCACCCGGTGGCGGGCACATCACTGGCTCCCCCCACCCCTTCTCCCCGGCTCAGATGGGGAAACCGAGGCTCGGGGAGCTGAAGGAGCCTGGCGGGGGCAGCGGCAAGGTGAGGTTGTAGGCGGGGCACTGCCTCACATCTGTGGCTCGCGCCAAGGCCCCCCGAGCCATCGCCCGCCCGCCTGGCAGCACTGCTGGCCACCCTGCCCACCACAGGCGGTGCTCACGTTGATCCAGGGGTGGTTCATGAACTGCGTGATGGTCAGGCGCTCCGTGGGGTCCGTCTTCAGCAGGAGGCGGATCAGCTGCTTGGCTAGGACGAGAGGGGCGGGGGGAGGGCACAGCCCCCCGTCGTGCCCCAGACACCACAAGCTTCCCGACTCCTAACCCACGTTGTCAGCCTGCCGGGGTCCGGGGCCATGTGCTGAGCAGCCGTGGGAAACAGACATAGGCAGGCCTGCCCGTGGTCCCCGCAGGGAAATAGGGATGGGGCCCGGGCGTTAGAGGGAGCTTCAAGGAGGCAAATGCTGAGCCTATCTGACAGAGATAGAAACCGAAGTTCCAAAAAGTCAGGTGACCTGCCTCGGGGCACACAGCTGGCAGGCAGGGGAGCCAGCCCTTGAACACAGGGGGGTCTGACCCCCGAGTGGGGTCTGCAGGGTGAAGGCTGAGGGTCCGGTGCAGAGGCTCACTCACCGTCCTCGGAGACCTCCGACCACTCGGGGTTGGGGAAGCCGTACTGGCCCAGGCGGATCCTGCGCTTCATGCCCGGGGAGATGGCCTGGCCCGTGTTGGAGTAGAAGGGCGGGAAGCCGCACAGGCTGCGGAGGGCGGAGGGTGTTGGCACCAGTGGGGGCAGTGCCAGGGCGGACCTTTCTCCTCCCCCGGCTCCTAACTGGGGAGACAGGCAGCCGGACGCCATGGCAACAATGCCAGCCCTCTGTCCCGTCCCCCCTCCCCCCCGCCCCCCCAGGAGTTTCTGCCCTTGGTGTGGACAGGCCTCAGGCGGCCCGGAGGAGGGGCATCCCATGACCGGGGGAAGGGCAGCCTATGGTTCTGAGGGTACATGGGGTGCAGGAGGCGGAGACGGTTGTACTCACAGGATGTACATGATGACGCCCAGGGACCACATGTCACATGACTTGTCATACTTCTCCGGACCCAGGACCTCAGGAGCTACAGGGCAGAGGGCACAGAAGGGTCTCAGCCCCGAGGGTCTTGGAGCCCAGGCGGGAGCCTGAAGCCCGGGCAGGTGGGGAACAGGAGCCAGGCGAGGGAGCAGGGCTGAGCAGACTGGTGTCTGGCACCGTCTGGGAAGGCAGCATGTGTGTGAAGTTGGGGGAGGAAACGCAGCTCCCCGAAGAAGCAAACCGCGTCCAGGCTGGGCGTGAGGAAGGAGCCTCCCAGCTCCATCGGGCCGGGCTCAGCCGAGGGGGGAGGAGAGAAAGGCCGGCCTGGGGCTCGGCCAGGTCCAGTCACAGGTGCGAGGGCCTCAGCCCCAGGTGCCCTGTGTCCTCTGCCTCCCCGACACACAGGGCAAGGAGGGGTGGGGCAGGGCTCTGGACCCCAGTCCGCTTGGCCACCATCCATGGGCCTGGGTCTTCCCTCCAGGGCGATGGGATGGGTCGGCCAGAAGATTGAGGTTGAAAGGCTGCACACAGGTCCTGACACACAGAGGGCCCTGTCAGCCGTCTCGGGGGCCTGGCGCCCCTCGCAGCTCCCGGAAGGCTCCTGGGGAGGAGAGCCCTCGGCGAAGGCGGCATCACCCCACGCCCCGTGGGGCACCTTCAGCAGGGATGCCTCCGGATCTGAGGGCTGCCCGTCCACAGGGAGCGAGGAACTTTCCAGGAAGCACGAGTGTGTGCACCCCGGTGCCGTCCGGCCACAGGAGGCGGCTGGAGCCCGCGCCCCTCCGGTAGGAGGACAGGCCTGCCCACTTTCCGCATCTGAGTCCCAGGAAGATAAGCACCGGAGAGAGAAAACCCAGGGCTGAGCAGACTTTATCACGTATATATTTAGAGCTGCTGTGATGTCATCCGGCTCACAGGCCACAGCCAGAATTTTCCTGGATCTATTTTCAAAAGCAGAAGCTGAAGTTCGGAAGAATATTTTTGCAGCCTCCAGCCCCCCACCTCACTGCCTCCACGCACACAGAATGCCCCTCCCTCGCTACCGGGCTTTAACCCTTTGGCTTCTGCAACCCACCGGCGCCCCACGCCACGGCGGGTGCGGTGTGGGAAGGGGGGGACACACCATTCCCGAGGACTCACCCACGTAATAGGGAGTGTAGCAGGGTGTCTGCAGGGCATTCTGGGTGGTCTCCTTGGCAAAGCCGAAGTCGGTGAGCTTGAGCACCGCGTCTTTCTCCTTGGACGTGTAGAGCAGGTTTTCGGGCTGGGCCAGGCAGAGAAGACATGGGTCTGGAGCAAGGCACCAGGTGGGGACAGAGTCCCAAGGTGACCTTTCGCCAGCTTCCTCCCTCTCTCACCCCAGCTGGCCCATGAGGAGAGGAGGCAGGGTGGGGGGTGAGGTGCCAGTGTCGAGCCAGGGAAAGCTCTTTCCCGGGTTCGAGTGAGATGACTTGACCTCGGATTGGGATCACACGGGGAAGCAGGTTTTGTCTACACAAGGGAAGGTTTTCCTCCCCTCGGGAAAAAGGAAGCCAGCGCCAAAGCAAAGCAAGGGCTCACAGAGGGCTGCAGGTGGACCCAGAATCCTAGGAGAACTGCGGGGGGGGGGGGCGCAGTACCGGCCAGAGGAAGGCCCGGATGCAGCAGCTGGACCACAGCTGGACCGCAGCTCCCTGGCCCAGGGAGGGAATAGGCCTCGGGAGGCTAAGCTCTGGGCCTGGGCAGGCTCGTGCAGGGTGGCCGCAGTTTGCATTCCACCGGCCTGATCATGACCTCTAAGACCCAGTCCCCCCTGGAGAGGAAGGCGGGAGGGCCGCGGTGGGTGAAGCCATCCACGGAAAGAGCAAGCAGCCCTGGCAACTGGACCCACTGTGGCTCCTTCCTCCTCGCCGCCTAGCGAATGGCTTCTTTCCCTAAAAAGGCTGGCATTAGAGGGCTCGACCTCTAACTATGGCTGTCACCTCACAGAAGCCCCAACGGTGTCAGGCAGCCCTGCCTGAGGCCCAGCACAGGACGTGTTCACAAAATTCCTTGCTGAATAAAATGAATGAACCAACCCGTGTGGCAACTTCATGGCCTTGGGCATGACAATCTCTTCCCGAGCCTCAGTTTTCTCATCTGTCAAATGGGCACTGGCCCCTAACCTCACAGGGTTAGGTGAGGGTTAAACGAGATGTTCGCCGGGGCCTCCTGGCTTGAAGCAGGCACTCAGCTAGGCTTGTAGCTACTGGGTCAGAGTCTGAAGGCATCGAGGAGACCCGCGTGGCCGCAGCAGCACGAGTGAGCTGGAGCCAGGGGAGAAGAGACTGAAGACCAGCCTGGGCCAGGAGCAGAGCCCTTGAAGGACTCGGCCTCCAGGCACTGGGTGCTGGGTGCTGGGGGTTGTGACTCACACTTCCTCCTTTGGCCCCCCAACCCGAGTCCTGGAGCCTCACCTTGACGTCTCGGTGGGCGATATTCTGGCTGTGCAGGAACTGGATGGCGGTGCCAATATCACGCATGATCTCCGCAGCTTCTGCAGACACAGGAGGTTGAGTGATGCCAGTCAGAGGCCAGGCAGCCTGGGGTCCCCACCCCGTTACCCGCCTGGGACAGCACCAGATGGTGACAGGACTCCTGCATCCCAGAACCCCATCCCATACACCTACCCAGTCACCCTAACTTCCTCTGGGGATGCCTTAGCCCTCTTTCCTCAGGCCTGGGCCACCTCCACCCCAGGCCACGGAGAGACCATCTCCAACAGGTGTCCATCTACACACTCCCAGGACTCCCTGGGGAAGGAACACTGTCTCACCCTCTTGTTCAGCTGGGAAGACTGAGGCACAGAGAGGAGCAGGGCCTTGCCCAGCATCACACAGCAACTCTATGTGATCCCTCTCAGTCCGAATCCCCCTCTGCGCCCCCTCCCCCCGCCCCGAGACCCAGCTGCGGCGTGTACCTCTCTCAGTGAAAGCCTGGTCGCCACGCTCCTGAATCCTGCTGAACAACTCACCACCCTCCATGCTGTAAGAGAAGGTGGCTGTGAGCGGGGCAGGACGACCGGGCGCCAGCCTGCCCCTGCCCCTGCCCCTGCCCCTGCCCCTGCCCCTGCCACAGGCTCAGGCTCAGACCCTCTGCTCTTCCCTGGGGAAGTCACTGGCAGCTCCCTGGGCCTCGAACAGCCTAGAGCATGGTAGCTGTCAGCTTGAGTGGGTTGAACTGAACTCTTAGAAGGAGGGGAGGGTGGTGAGCTCAGACCCTCCCCAGGAGTCCCGGGAACCTCGGGGTCCCAACGAGGCGGGGGCCGCACCACTCCATGATGATGAGCAGACAGCGCTTGTTGCGGTGCATGTTCTCGTACACGTCGAGGATGCGCACGATGTGGGGGCCGCCCGACGCCTGCCAGTGCTGCTCCACTTCCTGCCGGGCCTTGGGGCTGTCGTACAGGACCTGGAGGCAGCACAGACAGCGTCAGGCTCGCGGCACCCGGGACAGAGCCGCTGCCCCCCGAACCCCGCAGAGAGGGACCTGCCCCTGGGCACCCAGCTTATGGAGCACACAGCGAGGGTGTGAATCCAAGTTTCCCTGGTGCGGGCTCCAGGGGGTGAGGTCAGCCCCAAGCAGCTTGGCTGGGGCCTGGGAAGGCCCTGGGAGGGGCAGCCCCTGCCTCCCTTCTCGGGGCGGCAAGTGAAGTGGAAATGGAACGGGTTTCAAGTCCAATGGCACATGGGCTGTGGGACCCAGGCCAGGGCCACACATGGGATGGCACAGGGTTGTGGGCCCAGAAAGAGAGTCTGGGGGCAGAGAGGACCCCAGCTGAGGGAGGTGACGGCCTGGTGGGGTGCAGTCCGGGTTTGGGGCTAAATTTCTCCCATGACTCAGTGTGACCCAGGCAAACTTTCCCAGCTCCCAGCGCAGCCCACAGCTCTGCACAACGGAGCGATGGCAGAGTCATCCCCACAGGATGCAGCGCCCAAGGCAGGAAGCGGTGGGCGGCGCAGGGATCCTCACTCAGGCTCGCTCAGCCCTGGGCGATGGCTGCCACCAGAAGGCCAGTCTCAGGAAATCAGCGTGGCCTGGAGTGCGGAGAAGTCAGCTGCCCCGAGATGGGGAGAGCAGCAACAGGCCCTCCCCCCCAC